GGCTCCCCACTCAGCGGGGAATCTGCTTCTCCCTCTGACCCTCCTCCCTCTCGTGCTCTCTGTCTCTCATTCTCTCTCTCGCAAAAAAAAAAAAAAAAAAAAAGGATGGAACTTTAAAAACAATTATATAGGAATGTCTGGGTGGCTCAGTCGGTTAAGTGTCTGCCTTCGGCCTGAGCCGTGATCCCAGGGTCCTGGGATCGAGTCCCATATTGGGCTCCTTGCTCAGTGGGGAGCCTGCTTCTCCCTCCGCCACTCCCCCTGCTTGTCCTCTCTCTCTGACAAATAAATAAAAATCTTTTTTAAAAATTAATAAAACCAATTATATATATTTTTTGACATTTAATACTGTTTGTTCAACGAATACATGAATGAATTGGTCTTTGACAAGATTTATGCTTGTTGCATGATCCTCTGATCCACACTTGTTAGCCTTGTCATGAGGAGCCCTTTGCACATATTTCCAATAACCTTAAAAATGGTTACTTTAGGGGCGCCTGGGTGGTTCAGTCGGTTCAGCGACCCACTCTTGGTTTCCATCCAGGTCATGATCTCGGGGTCCTGGGATGAGCCCCCCTTGGGCTCTGCCCCCAGCAGGGCGTCTGCTTGGGGATTCTCACCCTCTCCCTCTGCCCCTCCTCCCTCTCTCAAAAAAATAAATAAACCTGTAAACAAATTAAAAATAAATATATAAATGGTCACTTTACCTTTCCGAAGAGCTGAAACTACGGCGAAAGTGGAAGAGCGGAGGCCTTCTGCAATCTCATGTAGAGGAGTGTGCACCTCCGCTAGCTGCTTGTCCCGCCCACGAGCACCTGACGTACGTGACGCACGTGACGCACGTGACGCACCGGCCCCGAGCCCGGGGTCTGCGCGGGAAGTGGCGCTGACTGCTGCAGCGCCTGCGCAAGGCCAAGAGGGAGGCTGTCCTCTGGAGAACCCGCATGTGGTTGCGACGCACCTGCGGGGTGTAATCACCCTGCCTGAGGTGGTGAGCAGCATGGTGGGTGTCTACGAGGGCAGGACCTTCCCCAGGTGGAAATCAAGTAGGAGATGACTGGCCACTACCTGGGCGAGTTCTCCATCACCTGCAAACCTATGAAACACAGCTGGCCTTCTATTCAGCCGCCCCATTCCTGCCACTTTGTCCCTCTCAAGTAGCCTATTCAGCAATAAAAGCCCAGCCTTCTCTTAAGAAAAAATTGAAATAATTTTGGATTGGAGAAAGTCGCAAAAGTGACAACAAGGTGTCAATGTAGATTCCCGAATTGTAGCAAATTCTGGTGGGGGGATGGAGATAACGGGGGGAGGCTGGCGGGAGGCATATGGGAACTCTTTGTGCCTTTCGTCAATTTTTCTGTGAACCTAAAACTGCTCTAAAAAATGAAGTCTTATTTTATTTTTTTAGTTATTTATTAGAGAGAGCAAGCAGGGGGAATGGCAGAGAGGGAGGAAGAAGGAGAGGGAGAGAATCTCAAGCCAACTCCTTGCTGAGCACAGACTCTGATGAGGGGCTCAATGCAGGGCTCAGTCTCACAACCCTGAGATCATGACCCCAGCCGAAACCAAGAGTCAGATGTTCGACCAACTGAGCCACCCGGGCCCCCCCCATAAAGTCTATTTTAAAAAAGTAGTACATTGGGGCGCCTGGGTGGCTCAGTCATTGGTCGTCTGCCTTCGGCTCAGGTCATGATCCCAGGGTCCTGGGATCGAGCCCCGCATCGGGCTCCCTGCTCCACAGGAACCCTGCTTCTCCCTCTCCCACTCCCCCTGCTTGTGTTCCCCCTCTCACTGTGTCTCTCTCTGTCAAATAAATAAATAAAATCTTTAAAAAAAAGAAAAAAGAAAAAGAAAACCCAAAACATAACAGCTTAAAATAACAAATATTTATTATCTCACAGTTTTTGCAAGTCAGGAGTCTGGCTCAGGGTGTTGTACGAGGTTACAGCCAGAGGTCAACTGGGTTGCAGTCATCTGAAGGGTTGACTGGGGTGGGAGAATCTGCTTTAAAAATAGTTCCCTCACGTGTTCCTCACTGGTGGTTGGCAGGAGGCCTCAGTGCTTCACCACGTGGGCCTCCCCACAAGCTGCTTGAGTGTTCCCACGACATGGCAGATGGCTTCCCACAGAGCAAGTGATTCAGAGAGAGCGAGAAGGAAGCCAGAATGTCTTTCATGTCACAATCACTTCTACCATATTCTTTTACTTGGGGGAAAAGAGTCACTAGTTTCAGTCCACACTCAAGGGAAGAAGGATGAAGGTCCACCTTGTGGAGGGAAGAGGGTCAAAGTACTTGTGGAAAAAAATTTTTTTAATTACGTAAACTCGATCTCCAGCACAGGGCTTGAAATCGTGCCCCCAAGATCAAGAGTTGCACACTCTCCTGACTGAGCCAGCCAGGTGCCCCACTTGTGGACATTTTTCAAAACCACTAGAGTTAGTGGGTTGGGTGTGAAGGTTGGGCTCGTGGCAGTTAAGGTGTTCAGGATTTCAATGTGTTGTGGGGCTTGGGTTATTATGCTTGACAGAAACAACGGGGCTTGGTATCATGGAGTATGGGAATCATGGCAGTGGTGGATTGGATCATTGGGGTTTCGGTGTGGTTAGATGGGGTTGGTGTTGATATGACTGCAGTTGAACTGGTGGGGGTTGTAAGTGTAGTCGGGGTAGAGTGGGGGTGCAATCAAGGAGTGTGGTGTTTAAAGTCATAACTATGGGTCAAATTTAAGTTTGGGTTATGGTGGGGATGGGATGGGAGTTTTGGTGGGGTGATGGAGTTTGGGGTTGGACATTTTTGTGTTGGTCGTACGCTCCGAATGGTGGTTGAGTCATTAGGTGTAGTGGGGTGTGGCGTTTTGGAGGCGTTCGTTGTTGGAATCGACAGTGGTGAGGGGCGAACATTAGGTAGTGCATTTCCTGGTTATGGGAGCTGAACCCATCATCTAGGTGGGGGTTGAAATGGCTGGGGTTTGGGTTGAGGAATAAGAATCTTGAGGGGTTCATTTGAGGGGTGTCAACTAGGGTGGGTGGAATGGTGTCGATCTTTATGTTTGGGGTGGGCAGTGGCATTGGGACCACAGGAACTGGACTAATGAGAGTTTTGGGGGTTGTTTGACTGGGTTGGGCCTTGGATGGTTAGGTTTGGTGTGACTGGAGCTGGGAATGCAACAGAATGAGCAGGGTTGGGGGTTGTAGCTGAAACTGATTGTAACTGAGAATTCATGGTTGGGCCTGGGGATGGAGGGGAACTTTTCTCCTCCTCCACCCTGACCCTCACCTCTCCCACCCCTGCCCAGCCCAACAGCACAGTGAACACCACACACCCAGCTTATGCATCTTTATTGGACCAGATGTGGGATTTTCCAAACCCAAACAGGCCACCTCTGTCCTGCACCAGCCCAGTTGTAGAGACCCTCTCCCTAGTTCTTGGGGAGACCAGCTCCCTGCAGGGAGGGGTCAAAAGTTGGTAGATTTCGTGGGTGCCCTGGAGCCCCTCCTGTGGCAGGGGAGAGAGCCACCCCTGTGCCCCGAGTCCTCCTCCTGTAACCCTCTGCACCTGGGCTTAGGACGCTGCCCGTCCTGGAAGAGGGAGGCCACATCCAACAGTGCATCCTCAATGTGCTGCCCCAGTCGGTGGGAGTCCTAGAAGGAGAAATATGTCATGTCCAGGAGAAGCTGGGAGAGGGTCTCCTCGGTGCTGGGAAACAGGAAGGCTGGTATCCCCGATGTCCTGGTCTGAGGGAGGAGGGGGCTGGGGACTAGGATTCCTGGATCGTGGGGGCAGTAGGGAGCTGGGATTCTAGACTCCTTGGTTGTAGGAGAGGAGGGAGCTAGGAGTCCAGATCCCTGGGTCCTGACGGAGGAGGGTGCAGGGGTGTGTGTTCAACTCTGTCTCACCGTTTTTGTGCTAGACTTTTTGCTGGAGATGTGGAAGGTGATGGTGTCATCCCCCATGAAAATGTACGAAACGCCATAACCATGGTCATCGGCCTGGAGAGGGACAGAGGGAGGGGAACCAAATAGCCTCCGGTCTCCTACCCCCTGCCCCCCACTAGGCCGGAGTGCAGACCCCCAACACCCTCCTCCCTCAGGGCCCAGGGTCCAGGGAGGTGGGATCAGGCCCAGTTCCACTCACAGGCCCGAATCCACCACCAGAGGAAACATAGTCAGGGTAATTGTGGACGTCAAACAGGTGGATTTGCTGAACAGGGATCTGGCTGGTGGCCAGAGGCCACTGCTCCGAGTGAACCTGAGGGACAGGAGATGGTCAAATATGCAGTAAAGACGAACAGACCCACCCGTCCGCGCCCTTGGCTCAGTTCCAAGCAACCCCGGCCCTTTCTGACCCCCCCTGACTGCCTATTTCCTCTAAATCGCCCAGTTTCTCTGGTTTCTCTGCCCTTCCCCTCCCTGACACCCGCCCCTCGGCTCTCCTCCTTTTCCGACCACACCTCTCCGCTTCTGCCTGATCCCGCCCTTCTCTCGGGTCTTCCTGACCACGCCTCCTTTCACCGCCCTCCTGGCCACGCCTCCTCTTTCTGACCCCGCCCCTCTCCCTTCTTTCCCCCTTTTCCCTCTCCACCCCCCCACCAACTCTCTCCTCTAATACCTCCCTTTTCCTTTTTTTTTTTTAAGATTTTATTTATTTATTTGACAGAGACAGTGAGAGAGGGAACACAAGCAGGGGGAGTGGGAGAGGTTGAAGCAGACTTCCCACCAAGCAGGGAGCCCCATGCGGGGCTCAATCCCAGGATCCTGGGATCATGACCTGAGCGAAAGCAGACGCTTAACGACTGAGCCACTCAGGCGCCCCTAATACCTCCCTTTTCCAACCTCACCCTCCTTATCCTGAAGTACCCGTCTCCTCCCGTGGTTCCCCTTTTCCCTCTCTAACCCTTTCCCTGCACCCCAACCTGGTCCAGAAAGGGCGACCGCAAGTGGAGAAATTGGGACACGATGTAGAGCGCAAAGAGGTGGCGGTCGACTCCCTGTCCGCTCATCGCGGCCTTCAGCAGAGCCTGGTGCTTTTCCACCGCCAGGCGGAACAGAGCACGGCGCTGGGGTTCCTGGGGTCCCCCGGGGAGGTCATAGGTCATGGAAAGACAGGAAGTGGGCTTACTGTTGGGGCTTGTCACACACCCCCGGCCTCAAAGGAGCTTGCAAAATCCCTGCAAGGCAGAGATATCAATTCTATTTTACAGCGGGGAAACAGGCTTAGAGAGGGGAAGTCACTTGCCCAGGCTCACACAGCAAAGCAGAATCAGGTAGGTTCCCAGGTCTGTCTGATATAGGGCCCCAACTCCTTCCATTGACCCAAAATAGGTAGGGGGTGGGGGAACAGAGGTACCCATGGGGTTCTGAGTAGAGAGGTTATATAGGGACTACATGGAAGGGTACAAATGGAAGTCACAAGGTCGCATAGAAGTTAAATCAAAGAGAGCTACATTGTGGAATCAAGGATCCCTGTTGGGTAACCCCCAGTGCCCTCTGTGACCCCCATTAAAGCATGTATCGCACTATGCTGAAATATCTCTGTCTCGCCCCACCAGTGAGTTCCTTGAGGTCAGAGACCAGGTCTGGTTCCTCCTTTGTCCATAATGCCCATCATGGGGCCTGGTCCTCAGAAGGTGCTCCAAAAATATTTGCAAATGTAGGAATGAGTATATGGAAATGACCAAAGCCTCAAACGAGGCCTACACCCACTGTTTTCTCTTTGTCCTCCATGGCTCTCACAAAGTTGCAGGCCTCCCTCGTGCAAGACCGCACCGTCTCTGTCCGGCCTTCCAGGAACAAGCGAGTCATGGTCGACTCATAAGTCAGGCAGAATTCACCCCTGTCCTGGGGGACAAGGAAGAGAGGAGCCTGTCAGCTGGTCTCTGGAAATCTTCACAGACTTGACCCGCTTCTGTGTAGACCTCCCTCATCTTCCTGCTTGGGGAATGTGTGGTTGGGAGAGAGAAATCAAGATGGCGGACCCACAAGGGCAATGACCAGGAAGAGTCACTAAAGGGACTGACAAGGCAGGCCCAGGGGAACCAAAGTCCTGGCAAGGGGCTGAGGTCGAGGGCCCCAACTGACCCGGAAGTGGGCCAGCTGCAAGGCCACCTGGATGAAGCTGTCTGAAGAGAGATGGCAGCGTTTGATGAAGCTCTTGCCAAAGTGGGAGAAAGGGAAGACGTGGCAGTCAATGTTTCCAGACAAGGTCTTGGCTCCCCTCAGGGCTAGAGAGATGGACAGACGGATCTGCCAGAGGAGGAGGGAGGGAGGGATGGCTGGGGTTACGGATGGGGTAGAGCTGGGAGTGGGGCTGGAAGTGGAGGTGGGAGCCGAGTCAGGGTGGGGGTGGAGTGCAGAAATGAACAAACATGTCCCTGAAGGGCTGGATTAAGGATGGAGGTCAGGTGGGACTGGGGTTGGGGATGGATGGGGTTGGGGTTAAGTTTGGGGGTGGGGATGAGTTTCGAGTCACAGCCAGGGAGATTTGGGTACTTGGAGGAGAGGCCCCGACGCCCCGTCTCACCTTTTCTGGAAGGTCCCAGTGCAGCCGCTGGGGCTGGGGCAGTGAGGGCTCAGGATGCCCCTTGCAGTGGCCGTCTGCCGAGTAGCCCAGCTGAAAACATTCTGTGGCCAGAGTGAACTGTGTACAAACAGAGGCTGTCAGAGCCCCTTCCTCCCTCTGGGCTGAGAGCCATCTAACCAGGGACTTCTTTTCATAAGCCCCTCCTGGGGCCTGGTGGTGGGGGAAGTGGGAGCAGTCCCTCTCCCACTCCCCCTGCTTGTGTTCCCTCTCTCGCTATGTCTCTCTGTCAAATAAATAAATAAAATCTTAAAAAAAAAAGATTTTATTTATTTGAGAGAGAGAGCGAGAGCACGAGCAGGGGCAGAGGGAGAAGCAGACTCCCCGCTGAGCAGGGAGCCTGATGCAGGGCTCGATTCCAGGACCCCGAGATCATGACATGAACAGAAGGCAGATGCTTAACTGACTGAGCCACCCAGGCGCCCCTTGTTAAACAGTGTAAATCAGCGTTGATGGAGGACCTACCGCCCGCCAGCCTTCCACTTAATTCTCATGGTAACTTAGGAAGAAGGGATTCACATCCCCATTGCAATGTTAGAAACATATCGGGAGAAGAACACCTCACTTGGGGCCTTGGAGTTTCCATTGATCTATACCTTATTCTATGTGACATCTCTTCATTCAAAGCCAATGTGCAGAGACCTCATGTTGACAATAAGGGTCTGAGGGGTCTGAGGTTCAACTGAATTGACAGTGTCATTCACCAGTATCATCAAAGGGGGACAATTCTCATTTGTGAAACAGGCACAGAAGAGTCAGTACTTACCCAGGGCTGCTCCTAAGATCTGAAAGGGGTCTCCCTTCCCCTCATACACACCAGATCCCACCCTGGGCCCCATCCAACACCTCGTGTAACGCTACATAAGAGTGGGAACCTGGTGGGTATAAGCACCACCCTCCATGATTTAGGGACTAAATAAAATAGAGAAAATGGAGATGCGATGGTTCCCAGGATTGGATGGGAGCTTCCAGATCAAAGAAAATCCAACCCTTTCATCTGATGAAGGAAGAAACGAGGCTCAGAGGAGGGGAGTCACTTGCCCGAGGTCACACAGCATTCTGGAATCACATTCTTGCTCTACAACTCCTGGCTCGGTGATTCTGGGCAAATCACTTCCCTTCTCTGAGCCCCAACTGCCCATCCATCAAAAGAAGGTCATAGGGGCGCCTGGGTGGCTCAGTCGTTAAGCATCTGCCTTCGGCTCAGGTCATGATCCCAGGGTCCTGGGATCGAGCCCCACATCAGGCTCCCTGCTCTGCAGGAAGCCTGCTTCTCCTTCTCCCACTCCCCCTGCTTGTGTTCCATCTCTCGCTGTGTCTCTCTCTGTCAAATAAATAAATAAAATCTTTAAAAAAAAAAAAGGTCATAATCCCAGACCCCCTTTTCTTTGCTGGGCGACTCCGGTCCGGTCTTTGCCTGTCTGAGCCTCTGTCTTCCCTCTGACTGTAAGGCCCTGGAGAAGAAGATCTTTGGAAATGGGGCCAATGGTCCCCAGGGCGGGGGTGGGCTGGCCATCCTACCTCCCACATGTGTCCTGAGATGGGGCAGTCGGCCCACGAGTGCTCCACGCTGAGGCCCAGCTTCCCATTGGAGAAGACAATTAGAGTGAAGGATTTGTCAAACCAGCTGCAGGGGGAGAATTCAAAGTGGTCACCAAGGGGCCAAGAGTGAACTCAGGTGCTCTCTGTGGGACATAGGAGTGTCAGGGTGGATGGATTTTTCTGGAACCAGGGCTGGCTCTCTAAGAGGCTGGGGGTCTCCACCAGGCGGTCTAGATGGTTTCTGAGGCATGTCTAGGGCTTGGGAAATTGGAAGATTTTGAGGGAACATACCAAGAAAAGGTCAAGGTTCCCAAGGAGCTGAGAGGTTAGGGGGACTCTTCTGGGAACCTCAGAAATCAGTGATGCCTGGGGTGCATCTAGGAAGTTGTCTGAGGATCTCTAGGTAGGAAGTCCCAGGTCTGGAGTCCTGGGTTTGGGGTGCCTGCATGAAAATCTAAGGATTCTGTGGTTCTGAGCCTGAGGTCCCCAGGCTTGGGGCTCTGGCTTTGGGGGTCTCTAGGTTTGAAGGTCCAGGTTTGGGGTTTGGTGGTCCTCAGATCTGGGGTCCAGGGTCTGCTTGTCTAGTGTCCAGAGTCCTAGGTCTGGATACTGGGTTCTGGGGTCACCGGTTGCGGTGAGGTTCAAGTCCAGGGGCTGACTCACCGGTCATGGCCCCTGCCAGCAAGCAGAGCACGGGCATAGGCATCCAGTGAAGCTGCAGGGTCCTCCCTGGTGAGCCCTGCAGGCTCCGAGTCCAGTGATACAAAGAAGGCAGCTCCTTCCACGGCCTCCAAGGCATCCTCGGCCTGGATCTTCAGGGAACTCCGCACCTGGGCCCACACATCCCTGGGGGGGCGGGGGGGGCTGGGACACGTGCCTGAGCCCACACACCCTGCCCAGCCTCTGCCTGGCCCCCCAGCTTGCCTTTCCCCAACCTCCAGAGGCTGGCTGGGCCATCGGGTCCCCTGACCTCTTACTCTCACCTGGGTGCAGCTGTCAGGGCAGCCAGATGCTCCTCCTGGGGGCAGGCAGGGGAGGGGTCGTCCAGGATTCGCTGGAACTGCTGCTCCAGGGCCCGCGGGGAGAGCAGGCCGCTTTGGGAGTGGGTCCCCACACGGAAGAATCGGCCTCGGTGGAAGACGGCCACGTGTCGGCTGTCCCGGAGGTGGCGGATATGGTCTAGGGGTGGGGTGGGCAGAAGGGCGGAGGGCAGGAAGGTCAGATACACTGCAAGAATAAGCACCATTTAGGGCGCCTGGGTGGCTCAGTCGGTTCAGTGTCTGACTCTTGGTTTCGGCTCAGGTCATGATCTCAGGGTCCTGGGGTCCAGCTGCTCTAGGCTCCACATTCAGCAGGGAGTCGGCTTGGGATTCTTTCCCCCTCCCTCCCCCCTCCTCCTCTGCTCCTCCCCCT